AGGTGTCATTTCAGCTTCCGAAGCGAGAAATGGTGAGATGGCATATATGTCGTTAATTTTAAACGGAGAATGGAGAGCGAGACTTTTAAAGTGCGGGATAGAAATGATAGATAATTTTCTCCATTTCCTTTCTGGAAGCCGAAGCTGTTCCGTCTGGGTGTTGGAGTCTGACAGCTTAGGTTTTGTAATTGGCGAGCCTTCGACAAGCTCGGCAAGTGCTGTTCGTAGTCTGTACAGCTTCGGTTACAACTGCTGCTCTTCTTTCTTTAAAATCTTCTTTTATCGCCTGTCTATATTGTTTTGCAAGTTTGGACGTGAGTTGACCGTTGACTGTAGCTCGTGCGATTCTATGCCTGGGTATTAGCTTGGGTGTTGCTGGGGTCAGACGTCTCTTCGTGAGTTTCGAACTCCCAGCTTTCATATCACCAATGTGAAGATGTTGAATGGACCGTTGAATTTAGCAGGTTTCTTTCCAGTCCACGAAATATGGTATTTTAAACGAAGGCAGCGATAGTCCGACCTCTTGTAAAATTTTGAAGCAACAGCGACATCGGTCAGGCAAAACCTGTGATATGCGGTGATATGGTCCATTTCGTTGTGGTACTTTCTAATGGGAGAGTAATACGGCCAGCGTTGAGAGTGATGTTTCTGGAATTGTGAGTTACTACGAATGGTCTTGATCATCGTGATAAACTCAAACAACTCTCACTTTGCTCGTTCCATTCTAATTCGTGGGTCTTAATATGGCATTCAGACGATCTGGATCCATTCTAGCGTTAAACTTCCAGTAATGACTTTAAAGGACGTATTGTCTGTTTCTGTAGAAATTCTCCAAGTCCATGTAGAACGCTTCGACTTCGTCGTCGTCATAACTTGATGTCTTTGCATAGACGAGGGAGATTGTTAAAGCCCAGTATTGATCCACATTTTTTCAATCGTAATAGTCCAATTCGGGTTGTTAGCTTTTCGAATGAATCGATTTTCATGGCAAAACTCGTGTTGAAGGAAACGCCGACCCCACCGACTCCTCTATTGTCGTATGTTCCAGGGTACAGTTCTTTCGCGGTGTCATAGACGGAGTTGAGTGCGTGATGTATGTCGTCTTGGCTGATTCAACAACGTTGTGCCTATCTTTCTAGACTGCATGATCAGGTCCACAATAGACGATTCCGGTGCAAATGGACGTGCATTACAGATCGTCACCTTAGTCCTTCCAGATTTAGGCAACCGAGAATGCCCCTAAGATTTTAGCAGCCCTTCCGTGCTTGTCCTACCCAACTTTATCGTATCGCTGGCTCTTCCAAGGTCAGGGAAACAAGGCGTGTATATTTTACTGCGTTTAGCGTCTGGTAACCATGCGTAGCTTGTAGAGCACCGAACGGGTGAGCTGAGTATACTCACGGGTAGCTTGCTAGTCTTTCCCAGAGTAGACGAGGAAGCCTGTTTGTTGGAAATAAGTCCTAGGCACCTTCTGTATATATAATTTCCAGTCACTTGATTGTAGGTGTTTGGCTGAACTGACTTGTAGAATTGAATCTACGCCAACGAAGACAAACCCACACGTGCATGCATGAAGAGGTCCTTGTAAACACAGAAAGTATTTGCGACATCGACGAAGGAGAAACATAGAGTCGATCCACCTCTGTCCAAAGGAAGCACAAAGTCGCTATTGGTCTGTGTGTACACATCGGCCTACCTGAGAAAACACCAAATATCCTTTCGACTGACCGACTTGGAGTCCATTAGAGAGGGTGATCAATGGAATGTACAAAATAGTAGTCAGAAGATTCACCATCTTCATAATCCGTGCCTTTGGTTTTTTTTTCACAGAGTAAACGACTTGGTCCGAAAAGATGGATCATAGCGTTACGTCTGTGATATTCATTACTTTAACTGTGAAATTTTCATATTTTACTATGAACACTTAACGACCATATCCTCAAGAACTGCGACTGTTTTCCGTTTTGAAGCATCAACATGGTAAACGGTTTTGGCTCAAGAGAATTTGAGCCTGTTCACGAACAAACTCAAGAAGCTTTATTTGACACTACCACAATAATACTGGGATATTTGCAAAACTCAGGACCGCAGGTGTCAGCGGTGGGGAACGAACGCGCTATTGTCCTTTCCGGGGAGTAACGCGTTCACCACCATACCATGCTGGTCTTTCGTTTCGCCTCTCTCTAAGCTTGTGCTATCGATCACTGTCATCTGCAATCACCCGTCAATGGGATTGATCTGGAGAGAGTAGATTGCTGATGGCAGTGATCGATAGAACTAGCTGAGGGACAGGCGAAACGAAGCACCAGCATGGTGTGGTGGTGAGCGCATTACTCCCCGTAAAGGACAATAGCGCGTTCGTTCCCCACCGCAGACACCTGCGGTCCAGAGTTTTGCAAGTATCTCAGCATCATTGTGGTCTGTATTGTTATTCTCCGAACAGGTTTAAAATCTGGGAAAATTGCGACATTATGACGATATTTGAGACCTTACTAGTGCCTGCACAATTCACTCTTAACTCGGATGGCGATTTTCGTGGGTGTAAATTTGCGTTTTACAGCGGAGATTAATCCCTGGCAATGTGAGCGAAACTATGAATGAGTTCGGCATTTGCACTTCGAATCCCAGCTGACAATGAACCTTTGTCACGACGGAGCCCAACGAGCCCCACCCATGGTTAGCTGAGTTTCATGCACTCTGGGAGCTCACGTCTACTACTTCCTACCAGAAATGTCCTTTCAGGTGTCGTTCACAAATGTTCAGTCGAGAAAAGCTTCATTGCAATTCGCGAAATTTACAAAAGAGAAACTTTTTTTTTCTGTGGCCAGTTAATTCGCTCCCATAAATGCAGAGGCGTTCTCCATGCTTGCTGTACCAATGGAATAACACAGTGGCTGTTTTAATGTAGATGTAATCACTTTTTATTTCTGCCTATTCTTTGTTCATGGCAAGGTGTGATGTGCAATATAAGCACAATGATGCTGAGAAATCGGCAAAACTCCGGACCGCAGTTGTCTGCGGTGGGGATCGAACACGCTATTATCTTTCCGAAGGGCAACCTACTGGGAACTACACCTGCCGTCACTTATATACTGCAAAACCCTATCATATCTACACGTCGACCTGACCTCTATAGGGAGCGTACGGTGCTGTAACGATGGCCGCTTTAAACTTTGAATTGTTCTTACCTTATCTTTTGTGAATTTTGTTGCAATGGAAGCTGTTATAGTCTACAATTTTCTGTCTGTAAGACAAACCTTTACTTGTTCGACTACCGTGAAATTCTGATTTTTTGGAGCCGATGGAATATGTTTCATTCATTTCGTAGCTTCAAAGCTCACATTTCGAGTACGAAAGCAATTGAAGAGGCGAGATGCTGCCGTCTGTCAGGACGTGATGGCGCTCCCCAATGTACTATTCATGCTCGCAACTGACGTTTTCCTTATTGCAAATTCTTAATATTTGGATTTCATTGTCAACTTCTTTGAAGTTCCACTACTAGAAGTATTTATGTTTTGAAAGGACACCGTGTGAAAAATTCTATATCTTGTTGTTATGAAGGAGCAAATCCTTTTCTACAAATAAGAACGATAAAGCTCTCGGCGTTGATCAATCCGTGGAAGGATGCGCCATGCATTCAACTTCATTAAGCGTCGTTGGAGATGATTGAATGCATATCTGGTCTTTACAATGACTCGCAGCTGCCTGCCGATATATCGAGCTAGTGCTGCTATCCTCCCAGGCTAGTCTGGTACCAATTTGGCGACCCCGGAGGGATAGAAGGCTTGGTGAGCCACATGCGCGGCGATCGGTGCCATGTGTGTATTGCAGGGCGCTTCCGATCACTGCCCCACTTGCATGTGCCTTTTGTGCCGTGTATCTTGAAAATCAGTTTTGTCAAGCAACATTCAAATCATTACCTGCACTCTATTGTTTCCAACTCACCACAATCTTAGAGATATATGTGTCTGAAATAATGTGACCCTACAACATGAAAAACAGATGATGTTGATAACCAAAAATAGTGGTGAAGCTCGACTGAGAAGGGATTTCATCAAAATCTTTGGTTTTTTGCAACAAAATAAATTTCTTCTACCACGATGGAATCACGGTTTTTGGGGGTGTAGGGACTACGACTAGGTTTTTCCTTCAGCTGAAAAGTCACATTTTTGAGCCTCTTTTTGCTGAAGTTTTGGACATGTTTTGGTTGAAGATATATTTCAGAAGATTTATGTATACTAGTGGAACGATGGATCGAAATATATTCGGTAACTCTACTAAGTCTTCTAGTCCTTAAATACCATAGTTACCAAGAAATCACAGAGAGTTGTCAAAAATCAGGTGTCTTCTGGAATTCGTTTAATAAAAATTGAAAGCGTGGGTGTGTATCACCGTTGTCCAACAGCGTTGTACCGGATAAATACCAGTTGGTTTGAATTACTGCTGCTAAAAAGGGCGCGTATACGGAGGGCATTGATCGGAGGCACCCTGAAATGCACATGGAATCGATTCCCATGCCCCAGACACACCAAGCCTTCCATCCATCCGGGGTCGGTAGATTGGTACCAGAGTTGTCTGGGAGGATAGCAGCATGGCTCGATACATCGATGGGCCACCACGAGTGTAAAGACTAGACGTGCGTTTAGTCACCTTCAACGATGCTTAATGAAGTCGAACGTATGGCGCATCCGTCAGAGATTGACCAACGTCGAGAGCTTTACTTTTTTTTATTGCTGCTTGGAATACTGTCGTAAAGAGGGAACCAAATACCAGCAACATACTGCAGTGTATTCAAACTTTATCTGGTAAATAAAAGTGTATATATTATTTGGTATTCGACTCGTTTTTTAAACCTCGTAGAACATGTCTCCCTAATTACAAAGTTGACCCTTCTGGCCACTAATGTCTCTTATTTCGGTTGTAAATCTGATTCGCTCATATCTTTCGAAATTTTAGGTGTGTTTAACCGAGACACGGGTTTTTGACCTAATCAGCAACAAACAATGACCACTGAGTTGCCGAGTGAGGAAAAGGTCTCCATGGAGAACTTCGCCTTACTACGGGTGCTTGGCAAGGGCGGTGAGTAGCAAACAGTTTCGTTTTAGTATTTGTTAGCTTGGTTTCTTCTTTTTGCTTGTACAGCTATAGGGCAGTGTGGATGGGGAATGTCTATAATGGATATAACTTGTGTATCAACTACGAAGTGGAAGCTACTTTTGCCTTTTTCAACAGAAATACATTAAACCGTTTCGGAATCACGAATCGTTCATATCTGTTTCTCGCTTTATCAAACGGTTTTCAGCCTATGGAAAAGTTTTTCTTGTACGAAAAATCGGAGGCAGGGACCATGGTCAGATTTATGCGATGAAAGTGCTTAGAAAAATAAGGGTTTGTTGTCTCTTTATCGTCCTAGATATTTGATATACACTTTTTGTGTTTTCTGAAGCCAGTTATATATGAACTTGAAGCCCTACTTATAGAATGAACACTGTTGTTGTACACACGTTTAGGTTGTCTTGTTCGTGGATGTATTTGAGGACCGTCGTACTTCTAGAAATATTAACGATTCCTACAATCCCTCTTTCCCATTGGTTTATTGAGCCATCCTCGCTGGCAGGCTATTCCTCTGTTTAAACTACGATGTACAGCAGGTGGTTCGTTCCACCTATCAGGTTCACCCAAACGCAGGAGTTCGACTTTTCTTTCCAGAAGCGCAACCAAAAGTAAATTATGCTATGACTGGATAGGGTACTCATGACTCTCTTATTACCGGAAAAAATACAAATAGAAGGTCTTGTAAAGAATTCTGATGTGTATCTGTTGAACAAAGGGAACCCAATGATCAGCTCTGGCGTCCGTTGAGAACGAATAGGAATTTTACTGGCTCAAAACATATGACGATTAATGGGTAACAGGTGATAAAGTAGATAATGACGAAGGTTTTGGAAACAGTTGTATCTTTATCTATTTGCTTATTTTTTTGATGCGGTCCGGAATACGATGGTGTGCAAGGTAAAACGCATCAACTCTGAAGGATGCGTTAATTAAACAGTGTTGTCCTCACTGGTCCCCATCCACGACATGCAGATGGGGCGGCATGCCTTCGCTCGATCAGAAGAGCGGAAACGAGTTATATTTTTGATTCAAGTCTTTTAGGTCCTATCTAAACCTAAGACGTTGGAACATACCTTGGCAGAGCGTCAAGTTTTGGAGCGATTGCGAGGCGTACCATTTTTTGTCAATCTTTATTACGCTTTTCAAACTGATACAAAGCTACATATCGTCATGGGTTAGTGCTTTAGTCAAAGTTGTCATATTTCCACCTTCTCTTTATTCGTTGTATTGTTTTTCGATGAAAATCCGATCTTCAATTTTCTATTCAGAATACGTTCGAGGTGGTGAACTATTTACACATTTATGTAGCCATGGTTCTTTTGATGTGAAGAGCGCCAAGTTTATTATAGCCGAGTTGATAGTAGCGATTGATAGCCTTCACAAGGTGTGAATGAGATATTTTGAAGAGTTATTTAATAGTGAATATTTTCTAATTGCTGCAGGGTTTTTAGGAAAGATTTTTAAGGGTACTTCTTTTTCTTCCTTCCTTCCTAAAAGTTATGGATCTGCTTTATGTGAACTATCTCTCTCGAGGTGGTTAATCACGAAGGTTTATGGCGCGTTCCTAGTTAGGGTTAGATGCAAACCAAAAGCAAACATCTAGGTACAGTGAGGTAGACTTGGAGGTGGCTTCCTAGAGCTGTGCTGAGTTGAACTTTTATTTCCTACATGCACGTAAAAGTATTCATTTCGTCCATGTGCTTGCATATATGCATCTGTGACCTTTACACGCCAATTCGATTGAAAACCTATAGTTAAGTTAATGGAAGATTTATTGGAAACCTGTAATCAAGTTACTAGAAGGAAGGAAGGAAGTAATATGAAGGAGGTTTCGGTTCGCCTCCAACATTCGTCTCCCCATAGGCGAGCTCGGAATATTGCCTGCAATACTTCCAAACTGAAGTAGAATATAAGACCTCTTACGAAAAATGTTGTGCTACTCTTTCTTTATTTTGTATGAGCACTAGGCAGCTCAAGTGCGCTATAAGGACAAACTAAAGTTTTAATGGTATCCACCCATAGAACGGAACGGAATACAACAAAATTACAGTAATATATGGCAATTTCATGTAGTAACATCTGTCTGTCTATACTCTGCACCGTTGCATACCACCCACCGAACGCTCCAGTTTGAAATGGAATGAAATGGAGTCGGCGAAATCCAATATCAAATAAGGGTGTCATCTCACAGTTTTCCCATAAAATAGGTGAAGTGAAGTCCTCCTCATGAAACATCTGTATCTGTGCTCACAACAGGAATTTGGGAATATACAGTAGTCCACCACGATGACGTAGCTATAATAATTTTTTTTTACAGCGCAAGGTCATCTATCGTGATTTGAAACTGGAGAACATCTTGCTGGACGAAGATGGGCATGTGAAATTAACTGATTTTGGCCTTAGTAAACTCTTGGTTCCTGAAGAGCTTGAACGGGCGAATTCCTATTGTGGAACTATCGAATACATGTAAGTCAGATCAGAGATTTTACCGACAGAATGTTGTCCATCGCCGTTGGTTTTGAAACAGTCAATTTTGCTTTTTTCTAGAATTTTTATGCGAATACTTAAATACCTGAGTGGCTCGTCTTCACGAAAGTTATGTGGACCCATTGAAACTTTCGCTCGACGTGTTCTGCTTGTTAAGACTTTAGCAGAAACGTATACTGATAGGAGAGGGTTTGCAAACGACTATAGGACTTTAAGTGCCAAACCGAAATATTTCAGCTCGCAGTTAACTTTATTAATAGGAATAAAGACCTTAGGAATCTACAAATATTTGCCTATAAGGTACTGTACGAGTTCTTGTGTTTTACTATGATGAAAGAGTGATTTTTCACCCCACGTTAGACGTATTTTTCCAGTTTTTGTTCGTCGGGGCTCGTATTTTGAATGTGAGGACAACAGAGCAAAGAGGATTTTGTCCAGTAGAACACGGTATCCTTCCCCATGTATCTATGGTTTTTTTTACTACTGCGCTTGCTTGAGAACTGTTAAAAATTTGAGTTCCGTTTTCGATTTTTGAGGGTCTTAATTCTAAATGAGTTTTAAACTGAAAGAATAATTCATAGAAATTATATCTACTGCTAAGGTGATAGAATAAAGTTAGTTCTATATGTGTGTAACGTCATAAGGATATTCACTACTCTCTGAAAGAAACGTAGTGTAACCTGCCACGACCGACTTTCTATTAACCTCGGCATTGATCAAGTGATTTTCTTCGTATTTTTGTTGAGCAAACGCGAGGTGTTACTATTCTTTGTTCACGATTAAGCTGACGTTTCGGCGGATTTCGCCTTCCTCAGAGCCTGGAAAGGTCAAGTTGATAGCAATCTACTCGGCCAGACGCCTCCATAACCAAACAAAGAAACTCCAAAACCAAGATTTCAATCACTTTGAACACAGCTTTGCACACTCACCGCTTCCTATGAGTCTTCCACTGAGTATGTCGTGTGAAGAGCAACCGCACAGAACTCACATGGAAGCGTAATGTGCACCTCCCATCAAGAAATAACAGGTTTATATGCTGCCCTATATCACGCGTGATAATGAGGCATTCTTCCCTGCGGTTCATTTTCGGATTTCTGGAATTAATCCAGAGTGCCTCGAGAGTTTTTCGCGCCTGTGTTCTTGATTCGCGTGCGAGGATCGTGACACATACTTCGAAGTCGTCCCCGTTATGTCTCTGGGTCCTGTGCGTGCCTAGCGGGGTATTTGGTCTATTTTTGCCGGCTAGGTGTTCTTTCATGCAGACACAGAGGGGTCTACCCGTTTCGCCAATGTATTCGTCACCACACGTCTTACAGGAGATCAGATAAACTATGCCCGAGCTCATGCAATCACCGTCTCTACCACTGGGCAAATTATGCAATTTTGAGTTGCACATAGACGGTCATATAGGCGGTTACGAACTAGCTGGCACTTAAGATTACTCAGTGGTATTTCAACTACGCTCACCGAATTCTCTAAGCCTGCCCTTCTTAAGCAGCGTTTTATAGCTGTACTTATATCATTTGAGATGAAGGGTAGGATAAACGGGACCCTTCTATCGCTAGAGTTGTCGTTTGGAGGCCTACGATTTCCTCTACACCTATCCTGAGCTACAGTTTCGTAGCCATTAGAAATGGCTATTTGCCGTGCCAAGTTCCGGGACTCCTCTCTCTGCTCTCTTCCCGTGCACACGTTGGTTGCTGTTCGAAACATGTTTCTTATAAGCGCCCTTTTCGTGTGAGAGGGGTGAGAGGAGAGCTAATGAACCAAGATATTTTTACTACTTGGCTTTCGGTACCACTTTGTAATGTAGCCATTTTCTGATAGGTGAATTTGTACGTTCAAAAATGGAAGCCTTTTTTTTTCGGCTTTTCTTGGGTGAACTTGATATACTCTGACTGTGCGTTTAACAATTCGAAACATTTGTCCATTTCCTCTTGTGTTAAGCAAAGGACAAAGCAGTCGTCTACATACCTACAGTAGAGTAGCGGCCCGAGATCAGTCACCGGTGCTTCCACCTTAGACATAAAAGAAGTAATGAAGAAATAAGAGCAATGAAAATTCGATAGCGAAACTAAAGCAGTGTTCACATTAAAAAAGATTCTGATGTCTATGAACCATATGCGCGTGTAGCGCAGTGGTCGGAGGTGCCCTGCAACTTATCTGGGAGATAGTAACACTGGCTCGATATATTGGTAGGCCACCGTGAGTCATTATAAAGGCCAGATTTGCATTCAATCACCTCCAAACGATGCTTAATGAAGTCGAATGCATGGTGCATCCCACATGGATTGATCAACGCTGAGAGCTTTATCCTTTTTTATCTTTTTTTTTCGATTGTGACGTGTTCAGACAAGGCCAAAGCAATCTACGATATCAGTATACAGTGAAAAACACTGCACAGTGGAAACCGCTATGCAAAACCGGCTAAGAGTTACATCACCTTAGGTGTTAAGATATTTTCTTTACACGCACATATTGTGCAGATCCCAAATTTCTTACAACCTATTCCTTTCCTCACTTCCGTATCCCATGAAATTCTGAGATAGTCATGCTAGGACATTCTCAAATATTCATCACATTTATTTGCCAGTTTCTGTATATTGATGGGAGTAAGCTGATCTCCGACAAAATCGAAAACAGTTTGCCGACCTTGAAAGGATGATAGGCTTGGCTGGCCCAGGACGGGGTTGAAAGACGACCTTACGCATACTGAATGGCTTCAGGCACTACCATACCGCTAAACCCCCTCCCCCCCTCCCCCAAACCAAAGCGTCATCTTACGTACCCCTTGATGAGCTGATGCGAGATTGGTACCAGTTGTTGTTGTGATTCAACGGCTAACGGGCTAACGTTCCGGTGACTTCGCCCTATTCATAGTCTATCTCAGCATCATTATGAAAACGCATTATGTCTCCGGCCTACTCTATATTCAACTATTTTGGGTTAATAACGGCTCTTTGGCTGACGATCGTTGACTCGGAGCTTCGGATCTCTTTCCTTACTTGTGCGACAAGGGATGCTCCTAGCTTCGTCCTTTCGATTGTGCGTTCAATAAGGCTAAGTGATCATTCATACTGCTTACGCAGCGACTAGGTTTCAGTGCCATACGTAAAGGCAGGAGTATCGTGGAGTCGAAAAGGTGGGCGCGGAGTTGGGTGTTCCTTGTTCCCTTCACTACATCCCCGGCGCTGTTGAAAACCCAAGCCGTTCCTTTCCTTCTGCTCAACCTTATCGGGGTATTCGAAGATATTCATCCCGTTGAACGTGAATGGGGCATACCAAACCCATCCGTTCCTTATAAAAATCGTTTTTGTGAGTTTTTTTTTCTTTAGTGGAAGACCAATCTGGTTTTATCAAAGTTCGCAAGCATACGTTCTGCTTGTCAAATATTTGGTGTTATAAGGGCGATGTCATCAGCAAAGCGAAGATGGTGTAACTACCGACCATCGATTTTCACTCCCATATTATCTCATTCCAATTTTCGCATGACGTACTGGAGGATGGCGGTGAATAATTTTGGCAAGTTGGTATCGCCTTGCCTAACTCCTCTTTTGATGTCAATGTTAATATCGTTGTAGAATGGTGATATCTGGGTTGTGAAATTTTTGTACGGCTCACGAAGAATCTTTATGTATTGAGTAGGGGCTTCCTGACTATCAGGGGCTTCCATGACTACTTCTATCTCAGTTGAGTCAAAGACCCTCTTCAAATCGATGAAAGTGAGACAGAGCGGTCTTCTGTATTCTCGTGATACTTCAGTGAGTCTTGTTATGGTGTGAATGTGGTCTGTCGTACTGAATCCCCTGCTTGCTCAAATGGCTGACCTTCGTCCATTGTTCTGTCAATCTTGTTTAGGATGACTCGAGTGAAAAGTTTGTAGACGATAGACAGCAAGAAGATTGGGCGGTAGTTGCCGATGTCGTATAGGTCACCCTTCTTGAACAATAACACGCTCTTGCTGGTCTTCCTTTGAGTAGGGACCTTGCATTCAGACAGGTAGCGTGTGAAGAGCCGGACCAGTGGTTTACAAGGGCCGGTGGAAGTTTCTCCAGTTGTTAAGATCTTACCATATCCGGACCTGGTGTTGTTCGATTTTTCACCGACGAAATAGCAAGTCGGATTTCAGAAGGGAGAACCGCTGGTGCGACAGATCCATCCTCTGTTTCATATGAGGGAAAACATGACGTGGCTATTGAAGACATCCGGTTAGTAACTGTGAATGGTTTTCTCCATTGCGTTTCTGAAAGCTGTAACTGCTCCGTCTCAGTGCCGGAGCATAATCATCTTGATTTTATGAGTGAAGAGGCTTCGGTGGCCTTTGCGAATGCACTTCCCACTCTTTGCGGCTTCGACCATAACTGCTGCTGTTCTTTCTTTCAGATCTTCTTTTATCGCCTTTCTGCATTACTTTGCAAGTTCTTTGATCTCAATGGAAGAATGGTTCTTCAGAAGCTTTTCTTTACGAGTTCAACGTGGGTATCCACATATACTGAACGATGGGCAAGAAGATCACCGTCAAGAGTCTGCTTTGCGCTTCTTTTGTTCAAAAAAGTACGTTTCTCGATTTGTTGTGAAACGCACAAAACAAGATGAAGAATGGGTTCTTTATGACGACTCACGACATTCGTCATCTTTATTGAATCGAGATGAACTTCAGGAACAATTCACTAAGTTAAATCTCCAGCCAAAAAAGTCACCGACGATTGCTCGCTCGCTGGTTTCCAGCCAGATTAATCCAACAAAACTTTCTGAATTCTGCTGAAATACTCATGGTAGAAGAGTAATGAAACCAAGTCAGTGAAATACAGCAAAAGGTTTAGCATGTTTTCATTGTTGGTGAAAAAATAAGGTCCAGTCCTGTACGATAGCGCTCAATCATGCGTCTCAGAACAGTTGCTGCAAAAGTTTGACAGATTGGCCGAGGAAACCCTATCCCATCCAGCATGTTCACCTGGGTTTTTTTTCAACACTCTACCACTTTTTTGAAGCGCCTTGAAAATCTCTTCGAAGAAATAGTTTTCAGTGGCGAAAGAGGCGGCTGACAATACGTTTGCAAAATTCGTGGACACTAGTGCTTGGTATTCCAGGCTGCCGAAATGAACACAGTTGTACCGTATGTGAAGAAACAACTAGATTATAGTGCTTTTATTTTCTTAAAATGAAATCCTATTTGATTAAATCTGCAGTACTTCGTTTCACTTATCATTTAACACGAGGTTGTTACCAAAGATTTATTCGGCCAACGTTTTGACCTATGGCGCGTGTGGCGCACTGGTCGGGGCGCTCTGCAATACACATGGGATCGATTCCCACACTCGTTGCTCACCAAGCCTTCCACGCTTCCGGGATCGCAAAGTTGGTACCAAACTTGTCTGGAAGGATAGCAGCACTAGCTGGATACACCGCTGGGCCACGGTGAGACATTGTAAAGGCCAGGTCACCTCCAAACAATGCTTAATGAAGTCCAATGCTTGGCGTATCCCACATTGGTTGATGTATGCCGAGAGCTTCGTCCTTTTTATCTTTTTAACGTCTTGACGTATTTATCTTCTTCAGAGTTGTAGTGCCACAAAGTTCTTCAAAATTAGCAATTACAATTACTTTTGTAGCGACCCATTGTACTGTTAATAACATTAGAAATATTGATACCAATCGGGTATAATATCTTGAAAGTAAGCAATTTTCAAATTTGTAAACGAACTTTACCAGTTTCAGGTCACCCGAAGTGATTAATCGGCCCGAAGGAGGCTATTCGGACGTTGTCGATTGGTGGTCTATGGGTGTGATTTCGTTCGAGCTTCTGACCGGTTGCAGTCCTTTCACTGTTGATGGTGCAGCAAATTCTAGCAAAGAAATTGCCAAGTATATCTTTCTTTCTATCGTTTTATCTCTGTTGATAAGAACTGGACAGTTCTCGTATTCTAAAGTCATTATTGCTCTTCAGAAGGATTTTAACTAAAAAAGTGCCCTTCCCGAGAAATATGGATCCTCTCGCACGAGATTTCATTGGATCGCTTCTTGAGAAGAATGTAGAGAAGCGCTTGGGATACAACGGCGCTGATGAGATAAAAAAGTAAGATTCTTTTCGCTACCAAAACTGGTTAGCATTACTGAGCTAGCATGTTTCAGCCACAAATTTCTTCAAGATATTGATTGGAACATGGTAGCTAACCGACAATTGAAACCTTTTATTGTGCCAAACGTTACCCATGAGGTAAACAATTGTTCCATTGGTTCGGTGACAGACGAAGAGAAGAAATACTATAGTATTGTTGGGAAGGATTGTGAAAGTTGTCCTTTTTTCAGCTTGATGTTCAAAATTTTGCAAAAGAATTTACTAACCAGCAGCCACTGTACTCTCCGGCTGAGTCTCCAGTAAACGGCAACACTCTTTTCAGGGTGTGTTATTAATTTTTTAATGTACTACTGTCTGTCGAGTAAATGAGATGTTAACAAATTTTACCGCGCACAACACAGTATAGTAATTCTAGGGGATGCTAGTGAAGTGTTTAGTTTGTACATACATCCATAGATACCAGTTAAGATTACACTGAAGCTGAGATCACTTGTGCCAACACTGAATGAGCTTGAAATTAGGCTATAAAAAAATGTGTTGCTTTGGAGAAAAATTTTGTAATGATAGCCTAAGCGAACCCCTTTCGTTCCTGTTATTCACACATTATGTAACTCTTAGCCGGTTTTGCATAGCGGTTTCCACTGTGCAGTGTTTTTCACTGTATACTGATATCGTAGATTGCTTTGGCCTTGTCTGAACACGTCACAATCGAAAAAAAAAGATAAAAAAGGATAAAGCTCTCAGCGTTGATCAATCCATGTGGGATGCACCATGCATTCGACTTCATTAAGCATCGTTTGGAGGTGATTGAATGCAAATCTGGCCTTTATAATGACTCACGGTGGCCTACCAATATATCGAGCCAGTGTTACTATCTCCCAGATAAGTTGCAGGGCACCTCCGACCACTGCGCTACACGCGCATATGGTTCATAGACATCAGAATCTTTTTTAATGTGAACACTGCTTTAGTTTCGCTATCGAATTTTCATTGCTCTTATTTCTTCATTACTTCTTCAGCCTTCGAGGTCCATATATCAATTATTGCTCACTATTAATCCAACAAACCGTCAATAGTTCACCGCAGATCCATTCACTTTGCCTTACTGGTGGTTTCCTTACAGGCAGAGTGTTTTTCAGAGTACAACTCTTCGTATAGAATTTGAGCATCCTTTCACCTTACCAACCTAACCTTTTTTGTTTTTTGTTGGAATTTAATGTTAAAATAGCACGATGAGCTCGCTCTCCAAATGGTTTACCGCCTCATCGTGACTGGTAAGTGTTCATCGATGTGGAGCTGCGATGTACAGCGGGGTATTCATCTCCCCAGCAGGCTCTCCGAAGCTGAGAAGGAGCCTTACCTTCAGAAAGCCTAGCTCTTGGTGTCGAACTATTCGTATGGTGGCAAATCTCGCTCTGATCCACAAGAGCGTCCACTGCCTGTGGTGGTGACGACCTAGGGCAGGCTTTGCCCAGGCTGACCTCGGGATTCCAGAGAACCGGAATAACTAAGCCAGCAAAACCCTAAGATGGAAATTATGCTAGTCCCGGCACAACCAGTGAGGACGGACCGTCCTTGTATCCAAGTAACTAAGTAAGACGAACTCGCTAATGTGGATGTTATTGTCAAGTCTGCAAATCGCTAAGTATTTTTGTTGACGATTTCGATAATTGGACAGACTTTGTACGTCTTCTTCGTAGTAGCTCCCACCGTCTGCCAGTTGGATTGAGCCGATACTTTTTGAAATCTGGTCATTAGCATTTCGATGCAGTAGTGTTGCATCCAAAAGTTTGGTCTAAACAGTTGTTTTCAGTCGTAGTTCAACAATTCTCAGTTAAAGGTAAAGTCCAGCGAATCTTAGTTATTGGTTTTCTTTACCAAGAGCGGGTCCCATTGTCTTCTCCTTTATGTTGTCTATCGGAAAGCAATTACTTCCTTGAATAATTTCTCAAAGTGTGCTGATTTTACACATTCAAGCCAAAACTGTTGAACTACTTCAAGTCATAAGCTGCTACGTTGCTTCAGTATGTTCCTACGTTCCTCGTTGCTTTTTACTGCTGGTTGCAGGTTCGTTATGACCACATGAATTAATGTAACAAGCCCAAACTGTGTTGAAAAGTCGAGTCACTTGACGCGTTAAGTCTAAAGTGATCGTTTCTTAGTGTTACAATTTGGAAAAATAAGGGTAAAAACTACTAGCTCCAAAATTTTTGCAGTAAAACTTTTTAAAATAATGACCTTGGAAGTTGCGTATTCGCTGGTCCTGCACATCAGTCAAATATGTGCCCTCAAGCGACTGGGAACTTCATGGAAGGCATTTCGCTTTAGCCCACTTCGAATGAAATTCTTGATGCTGTTCGCTCCTGTCGAGCGAGCGGAGTTCGTAAAGCAGTTTATGATGTATAAAGACAGGGTCATATGTTGCATAATAAAGAAGGAATACATAACTATCGTTCAACCCACCCAACGGCTTTCCCCAGCGAACTCGTCATTTGACTCGTCCTCAGCTGGATTGACAGAATGTTGGACGAAGCATAGCAATGCAAGCAAGAATGGATTCGATGCCGGTGCAGTATTATTAATGATCATATTGTCACGATGAAGTTCATTGATGTTAAGCGTGCGGTAACACTTGGAATCCTTTTCATCGACGTAAAAAAGGCTTTAAAATTGACTGAAGCGGTAGCATTCATGGATATTGGAAACAATCAAGAACTTAGGGACAATTACATGTGGCTGAACTTCACTTAGTGGTGAGCGACGATTACACGTGGCTGAACCATCTCCGCTTCGAAGTGGTCATTATAATTTCAAGTATGACCTTAACAAAATTTGGCTTATTCCTACAGCGTATGGGAAACGTCGTCTTCGGGTCGAACTTAGATAAAACGTGTGCTGTAATATTATATTCATACTAATGGTTTTAGCGCGTTTGGAGAGGGTACCATGGATAGTCCATTTGACTCGGGTCAATGGTGGCCTGCGTATATGGGTTATTCCGAACTACCAAATATTTTCCAGCCACTTTGTAGTGAGTGTTAAATCAATGTGCAGGAGACAATTCGCATAAGCGTACCTAAGCCTGCGTAACTATAAATAAGTTTGGTTACATCTGTAGTGGAAAATATAAACCACCGCAAAGCGCGTTGCGTGGTTTGGTGGTTTGTTACGTGATGAGGCTAGTATGAAAATTGTGATGCTTTCCATATCTCTCAAACAAATAAATACATTAAAGTTACTTCTCCAGTACCTGGGCGATTGACAGAGAATTACTGATGATAGAAGGTGATAAATGTCTGCTTATTTTATACTATTAAGGGGTACTCCTACATCTCACCATCGGTGATTTTTTCGAACAACAATGTCATTGGAGAGGAGCTAATGCAAGAAGATATTCAGGCATTACCTTTGGATCTTTTTTCTCATTGAAAAGCGCTACCAAATTCGTTACAGGCACTGTTAGCTAATTCATCTTTTTTCGGAAAATATAAACTGGACACCACTGAGAAGGGCTTTCTTGGCAGAGGATCATTTTCTGTGGTGAGGTGAGTTTCCTTTATATAACGTACATGTGAGACCATTTCGCTACTCATTTGTTCCCAGGCGTTGTGAGCGTATAGAGGACGGTGCTGTTTTTGCTGTAAAAATTGTGTCTCAACGGTTCGCAACTCAAGCTCAGCGGGAGTCCAGAATCTTGGAGATTGTTAAAGGTTGGATTTCTTGAATAATTACCACTTGCTTTCTTCTCACGGTGTGAGTTTCAATCCTAATTCGTACTTGTTTGCTTTTTTTAAGGATTTCTTTCTTCAGGTCACGTAAATATAGTACGACTGTTTGATGTGCACTCGGATCCTTTGCACTACTATATTGTTATGGAATTGCTCACAGGGCAAGAGCTATTGGCACGATTAAGGAAGCTTGAGAAATTCACGGAGGCAATAATCTTTGACCTTCTTCATTTGTTCGCTGAAGATTTATGTATGGACTGAAGCTGTAGATATGCGTTTGTTTTGTAGGCTGAAGCTGCAAACATCATGCGCCAACTGGTGTCAGCCGTAGGTTATTTACACGCCAAGCGGATTGTTCATCGAGATTTGAAGCCTGAGGTTCGTTTGCAACGAAGCTACCTCAACGATATATTTGGTATTGATGCAATGCAGTAGGGTTTTTCATTGAATCACTCTCGCAGAAGTACGCAAATGTGAAACTACTTCTGTGGTGAAGTAAGCAAGTCATCTATCCTACTGCTATCCAGAGAGTTATAGATTTGTTCACAATAAATCTAGGTTGCTTACCATTCATTTCACTGGCCACTGCTACCGTAGGTTAATTGGAATTCTGTGTAAATGTGAAGGTGCAAATGTCTCGTCTTTCCATGTCGTGAACGTTGCTTTTCATTAGCACCTTTATGATACCTGGGTGTTTGGATACTTGGATGAGCCCTCTTCAATTGTCGTGCGGGCTTCAGCGTATTCTCCACTTTTCGGAGTTTTGCTGGTTTAGCCATTGTGGTTCCCTGGAATCCCGAGATCAGCCCAGCCAAGGTCTGCCCCAGGTCGTCACCACCACACCCAGTCTCCGCCTTTGTGTATCAGATGGAGATCTGCCACTATGCGACTAGTTTGACGCCACGACGGTTTTGGAACTCTGTACTGGTTTACTTTTAGCTGGGATTCCTAATGGAAACATCGGACTCCTTCTCAGTTTGGGAGACCCTGCTGGGTGGATCATTCCCCCTGCTGTACATTGCGGCCTGATACTCAGGAACACCTCCCAGCCACGATGAGGCGGTAAACTGCTGGGAGGAGTAACTTCATGATGGTTCTACGAATTTTGCCGGTGGCTAAAATTAACCGTCTTATCCCCTATTTCGTTGCGATTTCATCATTCATGATTTCTTTCGTCGCACTACTATGCATTATGACGTCAATCACGGTGTTTAAGTCTCTTATTTCTGGAGTTTTCACATATATTTATAGTTGTTTAGTTCTATTTCCCTAAGTGTTTTCCTTGCTAGGTGGACATTTTCTCGCTAACCGGCTTTCTCATAAAGCAGAATAGAAATTTCAGAATCTTATTTAATTACCGAAAATATTTACGCTGTCGAACACTAAAGCCAATAACTGCCACGACTGACTTTCTACTAACCTCGGCATTGATCAAGTAATTTTCTTCGTATTTTTGTTGAGCAAATGCGAGGTGTTATTATTCTTTGTCCACGATTAAGCTGACGTTTCGGCGGATTTCGCCTTCTTCAGAGCCTGGAAAGGTCAAGTTGATAGCAATCTTCTCGGCCAGACGCCTCCATAACCAAACAAAGAAACTCCAAACCAAGATTTCAATCACTTTGAACACAGCTTTGCACACTCACCGCTTTATATGAGGTTTCCACTATGTCACGTAGAGACCAACCGCACAGAAATCACGTGGAAGTATAATGTGCCCCTCACATCAGAAAAGCAGTTTTATATACTGCCCTATATCACGCGTGATAATGAGGCATTCTTCCCTGCGGTTCATTTTCGGATTTCTGGAATTAATTCAGAGTGCCTCGAGAGTTCTTCGCGCCTGTGTTCTTGATTCGCGTGCGAGGATCGTGACACATACTTCGAAGTCGTCCCCGTTATGTCGCTGGGTCCTATGCGTGCCTAGCGGGGTATTTGGTCTATTTTTGCCGGCTAGGTTTTCCTTCATGTGGACACAGAGGGGTCTACCCGTTTCGCCAATGTATTCATCACCGCACGTCTCACAGGAGATCAGATAAACAATACCCGAGCTCATGCAATCACCGTCTCTACCACTGGGGCAAATTATGCAATTTTGAGTTGCACATAGACGGTCATATAGGCGGTTACGAACTAGCTGGCACTTAAGATTACTCGGTGGTATTTCAACTACGCTCACCGAATTCTCTAAGCCCACCCTTCTTAAGCAGCGTTCTTCAGAAAATGGCTACATTACAAAGTGGTACCGAAAGCCAAGTAGTAAAAACATATTTGTTCATTATCTCTCCTCTCACCCCTCTCACACGAAAAGGGCGCTTATAAGAAACATGTTTCGAACAGCAACCAACGTGTGCACGGAAAGAGAGCAGAGAGAGGAGTCCCGGAACTTGGCACGGCAAATAGCCATTTCTAATGGCTAC